AAATGCTTTGAACGTCAGTATTAATGATGAGTATAATGATAACAAAAGTAATAGTGATAATAAGGTTTATACGTGTGGTGATAAGAATAGCGAATGTAGTAAGTAATATGTGTATATGTAGACAAGCTGCCTAGCTGTGCCACTTCCATGTTTATCTACAAACTTGGCTGCTCCTGTGGAGAAAGCTGGCTATGTGAGAAGAACAACACCTAGACAACTCAACAAACGTACCATTACTCAGCATCTTCTTACCCTCCCTCAAAGTTAGGAAAAAGCCAAATAAAATCTGTAAGAAGTTCCATTTTGTTTCATTTGATTCATGATAGCGGTCACCAAGTGGACAATAGAAGTGCCTTCAAGCTTATATGTCACATTCCGTCGAACCTTGTGAATGAAATTCGAACTCGCCTTTTACAAATAGCTGAAGCTATGCGAATTAATTCGAGAGAACAATCCTTGTGTCTTTGAATACAATAACAAAAGAAGTTTGTTCTACCTTCACCTCTCTGTTGCTTTGTCTAGGCAAAGTCTAATTTTAAAAAAATACTCTCCTCCCACCCTTCCTTATTTCTAATTTCCTTCGACCATTTTTATGATATTTATTCACGCTCTGATTATCTTTAGTATTAGTATTACGCAACTTATAAGATTTGACCTAATTTGTTTATTTATTGAATTGTCTCCATATACACGCGTATTACTATCTTCGGTATTCTTATCGCCACCCATATAAACCTTATTATTCTTATTATTTTTGTTATCATTATAATCATCGTTAATAACTACTTTCTAAAACACTGACCACATTATTATTATTATTGTTGTTGTTGTTTGATCCACAAACTCACCGTCATTGATTGGACTTTGTTTTATATATAAATCTATGTAAATTAGAGTACAGCCTGAAGAGGATCCAATCGAAAACAACAATATTCTTATGAAATTAATAGTGTTCTCTGAGCTGGTTGGTTTAGTTGCGGAGCTTTCGTCGTCCTTCTGGAAAACATCCCCCTTTAGCGCAATATTTAGCATAAAGTGAAGTGATTTAAATTTTTTCATTAGTGATAAAACTGCGTCTACCGGCAACTATCTCTACATATGTATTGACCATTTTCTATTGACTTGGATTTTGAACTTGCTGGTGACATAATTTACGTTTTATTAGTTAGTATATTTGGTGGATATTAACGTGTTTTTTAATTGCATATTTGTTTGAGTTCCAGGCTTCTAGGAATTCCCTGACTACACTTTCAGTGATGTTTCCTCTGTCTAAGATTTTGACATTATCCCAATCAAATTGATGTCCATAATTGTCTATATGCATTGATATGAAAGAATATATATCGTGTCTTTTCACGGCTGATTTGTCTTCTTGGATTCTAATTCGAAGGGGATGTAACGCCTGTTACAGTTCATAGAACTTATAACTCCATTGTAGATAAAATTTTATTTTGATAAATCACACAGTGTTGTACAGTTATATGAACTGATGACGTTTCGAGCACAAACTATAGCTCATAATCATATTGCTCATATCATATCAAGGTTTATCAGGGAATCCTTATTTATCGAGTCTACACCCAACACCTGCAACAGAAATGACTCAATGCAAATACCAGAGATATGGAAGATATTATTACCGCAGGTCAAATCAGAAAAGGATAATAAATAATAATAAAATTCTACTTCAATTCAAGCACATCACAACATTCTAACAAAAAACTTATTATGACTATTAAAACACTCGTCGTATTTCCCATCTGATTATAGTTGATCAATAACACTCGTGTTATTGCCATCAGTCAAATCAGAAGATAATAAATAATCTTAAAATTCTATTTCAATTCAAACACATTCAAACACAACATTCTAAGAAGTAGCTTATTATGACTGTAAAAAACACTCGTCCATTTTTCCCATCTAACTGCAATTGATCAACAACACTCGTACGATTATTTCTGAATGTACATTATCTCACATTGATTTTTAATCCAATATCTAATCGATTCTACACATGTATATAAATGAAAGAACAAAGTTGTGTGAGTTACCTGATATGATTATGAGCAATAGTTTGTGCTCGAAACGTCATCAGTTCATATAACTGTACAACACTGTGTGATTTATCAAAATAAAATTTTATCTATAATGGAGTTATACTCTACCACAGTGCCCAAGTTTTATACTTATATCATAGAACTTATTTTGTAAATGCTGTTAATTTTATCCTTTTTTTCTCTTAGGTCTTTTGGTTTGCATAATATCGAATTAAGCGATTTGACTGGCTTAAGTGCAATATCTATTTCAAACGGTTTCAATATTCTAGCTGTTATTTCAGAGATATTTTTTGTATATATGGTAGTATGAATTTTCTTGTAGTATTTGATGATGGTTCCTTATTGGTGTTTTGATTCGACTTTAAACACTTTTTGATGAAATTTTGTGGATAACCATTCTTTTTGAAGATCGTTTGTAGGTATTTTTCTTCCATTCTTTTCAACACCGAAGCAGTGTTACAGTGTTTGAACTCTCTTTTAAACAATGTCTGCACACAGTTTCTTTTGTGAGTAATTGGATTATTGCTAGTATAGTTGAGTATTTGATCTGCAAATCATCCACCTGAGCTACAAATCTTCGCTACCATTTCAACAATATTGTTAACTAATGTCTTATTCTGATATTGATAATGGGAATATTTAAAGATAATGTAATTCCAATAATGAAATGATTTTCCTGGATAAAACACATATTGATGCAGTCTCATTTAGTTTACTGATGACATTTTGAGCACATACAATTTATTACTCTTAATCATGTCAAGGATTTTTCGCATATTTATGTCTTCCACATATACGCGTTGAGGAGGCCGTCGCGTGCAATGCAAGCCATCACTCAAGTGGAATCACAATGAGAAGCGAGTGACGAGTGGGTGATCGGTGCTATTGTGACATGGACGAGGTCGTGTGTGAGTTGGAGGGAGGAGAAGAGAGAGATATTGGGTAAAGAGGACAGGGGAAAAACAGAATAAAGTGGAGATTTGTTGTTGAAGGCCTATATGTACCATTCAGAACCCAACAGTACGAATGATGACTATGTTTTCCACATATCTTGCTAATACTGATACTTGACCATGAACAGCAATCACTGTAACTAAAAAAAATGGCTGTTTAAAACGCCTATCTCAAAGAAAATATTCACTTCTTAGGAAAATTAACACTAGTCCGTTAAACGATCTAACTTACTTGTTCAGAAGTTCACCAACAAGGTTGTCATTATAATTTATCAAAAAACCCTTTGGAAAGTCTATATTACCACATAATGTGAATAATGTTATCATTAAGCAATCTTAGATGACAAAAGTTAATGTAATTATTGAATCTTGATATGTGTTGTGTTCTCCAAGCTGGATAGTTAATTTGCGAAGCTTTCATCTCCCTACTAGACGACATCTTCTTTCAGCGCATACTTCAATTTCAATTGAAGTGAACTTTTAGATTTTTCCATGAGTTTATTAATCATCTCTCCTAGTTGATAACCACCTTGGACGTGATTGGTTGTTTTCGTGTGTCTTCACACTTTCTAGGCTACTTGTGTTGGAATTGATTGTTTCTTTGATTTGAACTTTGACCCTTTGTGCGTGTGTGAGGTTTCTTTCTCATCCGTTGATAAAATTTGTCTATCTCGATGTGTCTATTAATTGATGATTCGCTGGAATACCAGGTAGGCTTCTAAAAAAAGACGAAGGCGACGTCCACTTTGGCCAATGTAGTGTTTTTCGCAGTTGTTACAACTTATTTTGTAGATGATGTTGGTTTATCTTCTTTCGCTGTTGGGTCTTTTGGTTGACATAGAGCTGACTGAGTGAAGTGACTTTGTTGGTCTATGTACGACGTCAATTCCTAAAGGTTTGAAGAGTCTTGTAGTGACTTCTGAGGTATCCTTAATATATGGCAAGGCGATTTTCTCTGTGCTTTCCTTGAGGTCTTTTGGTTAGGGTTAGGGTAGCACTCTCACCTTAAGGAAAATTGAAGAAAGATATCTAATGGACGTCTTCCAAAAGATATCCACGGAATTTCATCAAAAGACATATACCCCTGATATGTATCCACATATATATATTGATGTGTGTATGTATGTTGGTCTCTCTTTCTGTTTGCTCGCTTAGTCTGTGACCATTTCACTTGTATGAACTTGTCTCCTTTAACAATGTATATTCCCCTTATATTATATATAATATGAGTGTTTGTTGACAGTCCGTTGCTTGGTGACATATATCCATATATGGTTGTTGTTGACATGTCTGCTATATTTCGCTATGTATATATGGATCGATACTTCATTATAATTAGCCATTCATGTTAAGACTGTCTAATGATTGTTCACACCCTTGTCATATATATTTCGTTCTCACAATTTGTGTGACTGACTTCCTTTACTTTTTTGGTGTGATACCACTTATTGCTTCTCCTGGTGTTTTGAAAATAGAAGTATCATCGCAAACCTAGTGGTCTTCTGATTTCCGCCTTCTTGCGTCAGGACTATTAAATTCTCGACCAGTCCATAACAATAATTTAGCGACGAGTACATAACAATTTGGCGACGGGGAAAACTACTATTAACCACTCAGAAGTAGCAACATAACAACCCCCATGCCAACCTATCCAACCAAAAGCTCACTTCAATTGAAATTGAAGTGTATGCGCTGAAGTGAGGATGTTGCCTGCCTAGTAGGGCAATAATGAAAGCTTCGCAAATAAACCACCAACCAGCTGCTCAGAGAATACAACCACATCAAAATCATCCATCCATCTGAGCTAAAAATCTTGTCTATCATATCTAAATTATTGAATCACTAGGTCACCTCAATGTCACTAACATCCCAATTCAATTCTGACATCGTGTACCCGACTCTAATGGCAATGGTAACCAAGTCTAACTACCGTTAACTAACATAATATATAATACCAAATAAAAGATATATATATGTATAACAAACTTACCTCAAAGTTCTTGAATTATTAACTGTAGATTCCAATTTAATGTTGTTAACATTGTGTAAGTCACGTGACGCATCAGAATTCATCGGGATATTATTATTATGTGTACAAGATGAAGAAAGTGAAGTCGATGGAACTTGTCCACTAGTACATGTATTATCAGTATGATGATTGTTAACCACAGAGGATGATGTTTCATCATATGAAACGCATGATGATGATGATGATGACGGAAATAGCTCATCATCAAATAGACCAGGCATTGGTTTAAAAGGATGAATAAAAGCATCCGCACCCAATTGATGAGCCCATACGCATATTTTATTTGATGCACAATGTGGGATAATATGACGCCACATACCGTACAAACGATCTTCTACGGAAACATCCAACTAAAAATGGGTAACAAATAATAAAGACATATATATATATATATATACTTTCAATCAACAATATAAAGGATATATATATATTAGAAAAGAAGAAGTCTACTTTATATTAGATACGTTAAACAGCTTATTCTACAGTCAGGTGTGTTCGTCTGTTTTCGAAGAACAATATAGTTCCATTGAAAATTATAAGTCACAAGGAGTGGATGCATCTGAGCCAACCATCACCGAGAACGATTTTGAGCCATATCATCACCAATTGTTTCCAGCCACCATTGGTTTTTACCGCCCCGAGGACTCCAACCGGGAAGTCAGAGTGTGTTCCATCCATTTCAAATTCCTCATGATATATTTATTGGAGTATATACTCTTGATTCGTCCATTACCAGAGTAGTTTGTTGCCTGCCCTCTCTCAACATCTGGTTTTCCGTATGCAGCCAATGAAGACACGTATTGACAAACAGTCAACAACTGGCAGTTGGAAATGCGTTCTGTTACTCACAGAGAAGAACTGACTTGACAGTGATGTTGAAAAATCCCAATTTCGACAGTGCCAAGAAAAGAGAAGTTAAGGAAATGACCTCTTTCAAAGTGGTCCTTTTCGTTGTTGTTGTCGGTTGGTTGGTTATCTTCATCACCTGTGTCTTCTCTATGTTCACTTGAAGTCCACCGGACTTCGCTGCTAGCCTCTTCTGCCAACCTGTTGGTTTTCGCCTGTAAGGTTACAAATTTATCTGACATTATGTGACAAATTTAATATATTTATGCGTTGACGTTTCTGTAGCAATTTGGTTAGGATTTGGGGGTGGAGTTGCTAGCACCATGCCCCAATCCTCTCTCTTTATTCGGGCTTGGGGACGGCTAGAAAACCAGCGAGCTAGTAATCTAGGCGAGAACAAGAACCAATCGCCCAACAAATATGCAGGAGAAAGTGGAGATGGATTGGACACTCGCTGAGGAGGCCGCTGCAGGGTGACATCGCACGACAAGTCATTGCTCGAGTGGAACTCGAAAGGGAAGTGGTGAGTGGGACGTTTAAGGGTGACATGGAGAAGATCGTGTGAAGATGAGTCGAAACACTATAGACTAACATGGATGCAGGTGAAAAGTACAGCAGAAGGAAGACAGAATCAAGTGGAGACGTGCAGTTGAAGCCCTATGTTGCACTAGGAACCCAAGGGAACAACAATAATTATAAATAATCATCAGCAGTGATGAAGTAGTTGCCGAGTTTGCCTTGCGATCAGCAACACTATCGAAGGTTTCAATATAGCAAAAATATTCATTCAGACATTTATAAAACACAAAATAATCGAGCCAGCCAGCAAAGAATATCCTTTTCGATAAATTCCTCTTCCGGCTCTACAATTATATATATACATACTTATATACATAGAATGTCTTGATGAGGAACTTAATAATATTAAACGGTTGCAAAGTGAAAATGGTTATGCAGAAAAGTTTATTGATAAGAACATGAATCTGAAACCAAAGCAGCCCAAGTTACCAACAGTTCCAAAAAGGGCTTATTCTTAGGCCGTACAATTAGGCGTGTTTCTCGTCGGATTTCCGAACATCACCCTGCACAGCGGTTGGTTAAGTAAAGCAAAAACGAAATATATTCGAAGCGCTATTCTGTCTCATCATATGAAGACAGAACACAAGATTGACGTTAACCAAGTTTTCAGGGTCATTTACCACATACCTACGAATCTCAGTTTTGCCTTAAGAGTTCGACTACTAAATATCGCTGAGGCTGGCCGTTGGGATCTATATTAACCAGCCTAATTTGTGCATCCATAAGAAGTTGGTTAGTTCAGACGTTATCATTACCGGTTGGTCATCCAGGTTTGAATGATCCTGAACTTTTGTAGAATTTTCCTAATTTTAGTTAATATTCTATTTGCTACTATATTATTATTATTATTATTATTATTATTATTAGTAGTAGTAGTAGTAGTAGTAGTATAATTTAAGCATCTTTAATGAACTGTGGTAATTCCATTGTGATCTTACTTTACAAATCGATATTATTTAAAAACACAGATATTATTATTGACTACTACTAATCTAGAATATTCTATGTTTATAAAGATGCATATATAGATAATTGTAGAGCTGGAAGCGGAATTTATCGAAAAGGATATTCTTTGCTGACTGGCTCAATTGTTTTGTGTTTTACGAACTATCGAAGGTGTTTTAAAAGTCGATGAACTTGACATTTATACCAGATACTACACTACACTAGACACCTTGATTATAATTCATTCATGTTACTTGGTGTACAAGGATTCAGTGAAATAAATGAGAAAAAAAACTAAAAACTAGTGTTACTTCATAAAATCAAACAGTAAATAACAATCACAATTACAGTCAGTGATACAGTCACTGCCTAGTCCACTGTGCATACACAACACGGGTATTAGTCTTTTGAAGAAAGCAAGAACAACAGTGTGGTTTGTGCAGAAAAAAAGAAGATGTTACCATTAGCATTGCTTATTTCATTGGCTTCTCGTCAACTCAGCTGCACACAGCCCAAAAATATTTCCGATTCTCGAAAAAAGATGTTGAAAAACAACGGTTGCCACCCTCAGAGATTCATTAACAAGTGTGCAGAAGATATGAAGGCTCCAAAAGGCAAACAAATCATTCAGGTCGATTTAAAAGGTGGTAATATTGCAGGAATAATCAGGGGGATGCTGTTCAGGAAGGCTTCGTGTGCCTTTGGAAGTGTGTGGGCGGTTGTTACTACTCGGCTGCCCACACCGTCGAAGTTGATTAATTCTTCGAGTACCTGAAACAGAAAGAGAGTTAGTGTTGCGTCATGACCGCAGAGCCTAGGGGACAACTGCTTGAGTCAGGCCAGTCACACACGGCCTGTATAAACTGGTTTTTGGGATTGGTTCCGTATTAGTAAACTTACCGCAGGTTACGGACCACCGTATGGTGGTAAATCGGGATGTAAAATTTTTGGGGTCAACCTTTTCTAACCCCCTCCTACTTAATCTATTGCTTCGTCTTCACCCGTCGCCAATTTAATATAGTGTAACTACTATGCTAATTGTATGCAAATATATTGATTTTTTGTTTAAAAATGAACTCTGTGTTTTTTTTTATTTCCTTCACGTTCCCAGTGGAACATAGGGCTTTAAGCTGGAGGCTTGAAGTTTCTGTAGCAGTGTTTATTTTCACAAGATGAGGTTGCTAGCCTCATGCCCAACCTTCTCTCTTTACCGATCTTATTACTGGGTAAGTGAGGTAAAGGAGTGAGTCAGTCGGGGATCGAACCCCGGACCATGTGCATGGTAGGCGAGCATGCTAACCGGTGTGCTACCGAACTCTGTGTAAGTATGTAAAAATTGTTTCTGTACGTAAACTGAATAATGTCTTTGGGCTGTGTACAGTTTCTGTACAGCTGTGTACAGAATTGGAAAGAAATAAGCAATGCTAATGGCACCATCTTCTCATTCTACACAAACCACACTGTTGTTCTGGCTTTATTCGAATTCAAAGTAATATACAAGATTCAATCAGGCCTATCAAAGGGAGGGGAATTAAGACATCTGGGCATAGCTGAGGCGCTAGCTGTACAAAAGCTCAAACCCACGCTTTGTATACAAAAGAAATACGTCAAACCCCTGTCCCTGCCATAGCCATCATAAACAGGTAATTCTTTTAGTAATGACCATCCCATTGCCTTTCTTATCTAAACTTCCTGTTTATTCATGTTTTTCTTAATCCCAATTTACACTACCATATTTTCATATCCGAACTTCCTGTTTATTTTGTCATTTTACTATTTCTACATATTTAATCCCCGATTGCATAAACAATTATTCGTCACATAAGTTATGATCCCACTAGGTGTTTTATCCAAACATCCTGTCTATTTTGTTATTTCTACATTTCTAACCCCTAATTGCAAAATGTCAATCATCTTAGTTATTATGATGCTACTTTGTTTGAGTTTTATCCGTCCCACCGCCCTGTTTATTATGGCATTCTAATTCCTAATTGTAATTCTTATTAATTTGACCCTTAACTGGAAATTATTCTGGAACTTTCCCATCCATTTGATATAAATACACGAATACAGCCTAGATGATGACTTCGTTGACAAGAAAATTTTCTTCGCTGCAACTGTGTTCTTAATAACTCCTATGACGCAATGTGTATATTCCAATTCATTAAAAGGGAATATATGTATTAGTTCGGGGCGGGGGGGGGGTGTTATTAAGAAAAATATAATAATATAATAAAATACAATCAAATCTTTAAACTATTAATACATACCATATCGTATTCACTGCTTTCAGAATGATTATTCGCCGTTGTATCATTTTGATCTGAATTGATGATTGGTGTTGCTGATGCATCGATTGACGATGACGAATAAGAAGCAGGAGCACAAAAAGAAGTAGGAAATGGAAGATTACCGTCAGCTTGAAGTATTGGAACAGCAGTTGTATTGATCACTGGATGCACACAAGTAGTAGTGGAACAACCATCGTCTATACGCAGTTGACAGTTAGGTGAGTTCAATACAGCAGTTGTGTCATATGAATCAATATCTACAGGGACATTGTGTGAGACCTAAACATAATACACACACACACACACACAAAATAGAGGAAAAAAAGAGTATAGAAGATTTTCTAAATGAAAACTGGGCGGAAAAAAAGAGTAACTGACTGACAGATTGACGGGTTTCAACACGTAACTTTGCACAGATGATGTCCAATAGTTGTCACGCCCAATCAATGTACAACACAAAGCAACAGAAAACAGTAAGCAGAGATTCAAAAGAGACGGAGGCAATAAACAGACGTATGAGTTAAAATAATAATATGGAAGAACAGTAGTTTTATTATATATCATAGGTCACAGAGAGTGAATGCATCAACGCCAGCGTCAGTCATCACCGCGAACGATTTTGAGCTAGTCATATCACCAATTGTCTTCAGCCTTCATTGGTTCTCAGCACCATCTCGAGGACCCCAACCAAGCAGTCAATCGGGCAGTCAACACCTCCCAACGTGAATGGCCAGCTGGCTGGCATAAACTAACTGTTGTGAATTTCATTGACTGATGATGAAGTCATCTCTTCGTTTGACCACCACCAGTACAACTGGTTAACTATTTTCCAACCTGATCCATCCATCTTATGTCAGTCAGTGGCTAACACTGCCCCGCTCGTCGTCGAGGAAGGTGCTGGCTAGGCAGGTAGGTATGCGAGAGTAAGACATGTCCTAACCATCCACCCCAGTCGATGTAGCTGTTTCACAACGTCATTGTCGATTGATTTCCCGTTCACCTCCTACTCCTCATCCCCTGCGATGCCTCAACTTATTATTGCTTACCACCCTGTCTACTACACCTATTACTTACACCACCTAACAGCAAGGGAGATAGAACGCAGACGCCTGTGCTCAAAGACAGCTAGACAGCCAGCCAGGCAACGGGAGGGCAAGGTACCCGAGGATTGGAAGAAATGCTACTTATTCAGACTACCAAAGAAAGGAGACTTAAGTCAATGCAAAAACTGGCGCGGAATTATGCTCCTGTCCATCTCAAGCAAAATACTAAGCCGCATCATCCTGGAGAGAATCAAACACAACTACTTCGCTACTACGACGTGCCACCGACAATTATACATCTCATCAAACAATTGTACGAAAATGCTGTATGCCAAGTAATCCACAACGGGAAACTCACGGAATCCTTCGAAGCGAAGACGGGAGTAAGACACGGCTTGCTAGTTGCCTGCTATATCCAATAATTTTCCTGATTGCAGTAGATTTGATAATGTGACAGACAGCGGGTAATGCGGAAGAAGGTATTAAATGGACTCACACAAAAAACTTGGAGGATTCGGATCTGGACTTCGCCGATGATATATGTCTGATTTCCCACAAACCGGAAGATATGCAAGTAAAAATCAACCAGTTAGCAGAAGAAGCATCCAGAGAAGAAAGGACTGCCTTCAGGTGAACATAGAGAAAACTGAGGTGATGAAGATTCCTGGCCAACACCAACAGCAGCAACAACAACAGACAGCAATCAGCCAGCATAAATGGGAGGAATCTGAAAGAAACAACTTCCTTGACCTATCTACCTACCTGGGAAGCATCGTTTCAACTACAGGCGGATGGAACTGACGAGGATATCAAAACAAGAGAAGCTTTCATTACTCTCAAGTCTGTGTGGAGGTCAACAACACTCAGCATGAAAATGCAAATGAGATCCGGATTTTCAACTCCAATCAGAGCTATATCAGTCAAAGCTACTTACTATACGGATCAGAGACTTGGCCAGCGCGTCATAAAGAGCACCTCAAACAAACTACAGACCTTCATCAACAGCTAGTTGTCTTCGCTCAATGCTACTCAAGATCAGATGGCTGACCAGAAAAGATCAACAACAGGGACCCTCTGGCAATGAGCGAACCAACACAGCAGGAACCGATTGCGCAACAAATTGGCAGGGAGAAATGGAGATGACTTGACCATACTCTGAGGAAACCATCAAGTGAGTGACATCACTAGACAAGCCATCACTCGAGTGGAACCCGAAAGGGAAGCAGCAAGTTGGTCGTCAGTATATGGGTGACTTGGAGGAGGTGACGTGAAGAGGGGTTGAAAGCATGTGGGCACACTTGGAGCCAGGTGAAAACTCTAGCAGAGAACTGAACGCAATGGAGACGTGAGCGGCTGAAACCCTATGTTCCTCCAGGAATTAAAGCAAGTAATAATAATATAAGCACACCAGATATGGCGTAACAATACACATGAAAGAAAGAGCTTCCTAATTGCAGATAAAACATCAATAGTAGGATACAATCAGTGTTTACCAACATGAAATGATGAGATAAAGGCGGTGTACAAATGGTTCTCGTGATTATCATGTGGTGAATGGTGACGTTGGTGATGACATCATCATTTTTGCGCTTTTTTTAAAGAAACTGTAAACAACAATTATTGTGTTTGTTAACACATGAATATTTACTCAAACACTGACTGGCTGACTATTCCCCCCCCACAAACCATACCACACCCCCCAATAAACACACCCACACACGCACAAACAGTGGGTCAATGCACACCAGGAGATTTACATATGTGCAGTCAAATTATTTACGCCGGAACGTTCACGTATGCAATCCATCTCTCATTGTTTTTAGGTCTTCTTTCAACAAACACATTTTTAAAAGTTAATAAATCACATGTATTAGTGAGGAAAATAAAAATTACAATTTGTTTTTTTTGTTTAATATCCAAGACACTAAACAAATGACAGTGAGAGATGCTTCTTTATGACACGTTGAGATTCACCTCAAATAGGATTAATTATCATTCCTAGGAAAAGACAACTGATTACGCACGCACACCCACCCACAGTTTGAATGAATATATGAATGAATTGGCAGTAATCACGTCAATTGCAATAAATTACTCAGAATTTTAAGGGACTTTACCACAATGTCGAGCTAGACGGTTACACTGCCTCTTAGTTTAGAAATAGGGACTGAAGTGGTTGGTGGAGCACGTTGACCGTTTCACTTATTTGGGAAGTACCATCAGACAGTGACAAAGGGTTGATCTCTGACGAAATCTCAGCTGAGTACGGACGCAGAGGGCTAGTTTCTCATATGCCAGCCAGTTTACGCCGTCTCTGGCTCAGTAGACGTGATATCCGGCTGGCTATCGATCAAAAGGCGTGTGTAATACTACTCAACAGTCCGCTCCGTCCTCCTTTATGGCTAGCTGTGAGACCTGGCCATTGAGAGTGGAAGACATGAAAAGTCAGGCTAGCTGTCTTTGATCATAGGTGCCTGCGCTGTATCTCCCGTGTTAAGTGGTATAATAAGGTGAGCAATATTACGGTTAGGCTTCGGTCGAGTTCTAGGTAGGTGGGAGGGGAAATCAATCGATGAGGCTGTGAAGCTAAATAGACTGAGATGGTTAGGACATGTGTTACGCATGCCTGCCTAGTCATCGCCTTCCTCGACAATGGGAAATGTTAGCTGGCTGACATAGGATTGGTCAGGCTGGGAAAAAGCTAGCGGCGGTCAAACCAAAACATGGCCTCATCAGTCAATGAAATCTACAACAGTTAGTGGCAGCCAGCCACCCAGGAAGGTGTAGACTTCCTGACTGATTGGTTGGGGTCCTCGCGACGGTAAAGACCAATGAAGGCTGGAAACAATTGGTGATGATGTGGCTCAAAATCATTCTCGATGATGGCTTGCGAAGATGCATCCATTCCTTGTGACTTATGATCTGCAATGAAACTATACTGTTCTGTTATTACTATTGCTTTGTGTCACACCTCTGTTTACTGTCTCTATTATGCATTTCTTCTGCTTTCTTCTCTTGCTTTGTGTGGTACATGGGGGGAGTCTGGCAACTTGAACTGGTGTACATATGTGCAAAGTTCTACGTCGAAAACAGACGACAGACACTAGCCGGTAACCTGGCAACAGTGGAAACAACAACAACCATCAGGAATTCATCATAAACTGACATGGATATCGGTTACAAACAGCCGTTGGCAAACCAGCACTCGCGTACTGAACAGTTGTTGTTCCATCAGCCTAGTTTGAGACGCACCCACCGACAGAGTTTAAACTCATGACCTTCCAGTTACAAGGCGAGTGATCCGGTGTAGACCATTTTAAGCAGTCACTGGCACCTGATAAAAATGTCCATCACATGAATTCCACCTTCTTTCTTCCAATTTACGCAAGATACATAGCGCGACTGGCACTTACTGATGTCATAATTGTCCACACACCCGACTTCCGACTAGAACTGCCTACCTGAATAAGACCAGTCACTAGTGCACATCAGATTGATATTCAAGAGATTGGTTTGCAGTGACTTGATTGGTTACAGATTCTCTAACCAATGTCGGCTAAGGATAAAATCCTGCTGTAGCCAATCAAAACCCTGGAAACCAACACTTGTAAACACCTTTATGTTTGTTTGAACAACCGGGTTTTTCCCTTCACTTCAACCAACTATAAGCAAGTTTATCTTGAATTGAGAGAAGTTGAAAATCATGGGCATACACCACTGGATACCTTCCCAGTGTGTGTGATTGATCACGAAGCTCGCCTGGTAACTGGAACACATTGGGTTCGAACCATGACGGTGGGTGGTGAGTGTGTACTGTTGAAGCAAAGTCCCGAACTAAGCTGACAAAACAACTGTCCAGTATTTCCCAGCTGGTTTTCCAATGGTTCTCTCTCCCCGATTTCAGCTCATGATGAAATCTTGAAATCGAGCTAATCCGCGCAAACCAACACTTGAATAACAACAACCTTCAGTAAATTTGTAAGCAAAGAAAGAAAAAACCACTGTTCAATCATTATTCATTTATTCCCTACGCAGTAAACTAAAGTAGATTTAAAAGAGGGGTTGATCAGAAGTGTGTGTTTGTGTTTGTTACTTTCCGGTTGGCCATACAGTGGAAGATGATTTATTCTAAGGGTATTTTAAACAGATAGAGCATTAGTGTTTTGCGTGACCTAAGAACATATGTAACAGCTGCATAAAGGCCCGCCTAATTTGGTTTTTGCAATCGAGTCTGTG